CGTTAGCTGTAGGTTTGTCATATATGGTCTTTATTATGTTAAGGTACTTTCTTCTGTTCCCACTTCGCTGAGAGACTTCATAAAAAATGGGTGCTTGATTTTGTCAAATACTTATTCTGCATCTATTGATATGATCATATGATTTTTATTCTTCATTTTGTTTATGTAGTTTTTTGCATAAATTGATTTGTGGATGTTGAACTGATCTTGCACCCGGGAATAAAACCTACTTTATTGTGGTGTATGATCGTATTAATATATTGCTGAATTGGGTTTACTAATATATTGTTGAGGATTTTTACATCTATGTTCATCAGGGGCATTGTCTATAATTCTCTCTCTCTCTCTCTCTCTCTCTCTCTCTCTTTCTCCTTCTCTCTCTCTCTCTAAAGTCTTAGTCAGGTTTTACCATCAGAACAATGCTAGCCTCATATAATGAGCTTGGGAGCCTTCCCTCCTCTTCATTTTTGGGGAAAAGTTTGAGAAGGATATATGTTAATTTTTCTTTAAATATTTGGTAAAATTCACCTGTGAAGCCACCATCTGGTCAGGAGTATTGTTTGTTGGGAGATGTTTTGGTTACTGATTCTATTTTATTAGTAGTTATCTGTCTGTTCAGTGTTTCTGTTTCTTTTGACTCAGTCTTAGAAGTTTATATGTATCTGGAAATTTATCCATTTCTTCCAGGTTGTCTAGTCTGTTGGCATAAAATTGTTCAGAGTATTTTCTTATAATCCTTTGTAGTTCTGTGTTATCAGTTTTCTCTTCTGCTTCATTTCTGCTTAATTTATTTGGGCCCTTTATTTTCTTTAAGAGTCTGGTTATTGTTTATCTTTTCAAAGATTTTATTTTTGAAAATCTTTGATATAGTATATTTTATACTGCATTTCATTTATTTCTTTCAAGACCTTCCTTCTACCCTCTTTGGGCTTTGTTTGTTCTTTTTCTAGTTGCTTTAGGTGTAAGGATGGATTGCTTCTTTGAGATTTTTCTTGCTCCTTAAGGTATGCCTATATTCTATGAATTTCCCCCTTAGCACTGCTTTGGCTGTGTGGTATAGACTTGGGACCATTCTGTTTTCACTTTCATTTGTTCAAGGTATATTTTGATTTCTTCCTTGATCTCATCATTAACCCATTCATTGTTTAATAGCATGTTATTTAGCCTCCATGTGTTTTTGTGTTTTTAACTTTTCTTGTAATTGATTTCTAGTTTCATACTACTGTGATCAGAGAGGAGCTTAATATGATTTCAGTCTTCTTAAATGTTTTGTGTCTTGTTTTGTGGACTAACATGTTGTCTATCCTGGAAAATTTTCCATGAGCATTCGAAAAGAATGTATATTCTGCTGCATTGGGGTGTAATGTCCTAAAAATATCAATTAAATCCATTTGGTCCAGAAGGCTTCTCTTTCCTTGTTGATTTTTGGTGTGCATGATCTATCTATTGATGTCAATAGGGTGTAAAATTCCCCTACTATGACTGTATTACTGTTGATCTCTCCATTTATGTCAGTAGTTATTTGTTTTATATATTTAGGTTCTCCTATGTTGTTTTGTAAATGTTTACAAGTGTTATATTCTCTTGCCGGATTTATCCCTTTATCATTATGAAATTCTTTCTTTGTCTTTTGTTATAGCCTTTGTTTTAAAGTCTACTTTGTCTGATATAAATATTGCTACTGCAGCTTTTTTCATTTGCATTTGCATTTGCGTGAAATATCTTTTTCTGTGCATTTACTATCAGCCTTTGTGTGTCAATCAGAAGTGCAACATATGTATGGGTTTCTTATCCATTCAGCTTTATGTCTTTTGATTGGAGCATTTAATACTGTTACATAAGTAATTATTGATACGTATGTAGTGATTGCTATATTCTTATTTATATTGTGATTGTTTTTTCTTCTCAAACAAATTCCTTTACATTTCCTAGAATACTGGCTAGTGTCAATGAACTCCTTCAGCTTTTTCTTGTCTGGGAAGCTCTTTAACTCTCCTTCAATTTTAAACAATAGCCTTGCTTCTTAGAGTAATCTTGGTTGTAGGTGCTTGCTTTTCTTTACCTTGACTATTTCATGTCAAAACCTTCTGGCCTGTAAAGTTTCTGTTGAGAATTCTCTGACAGTCTTATGGGAGCTCCCTGTAGATAACTAGCTGCTTTTCTCTTGCTGCTTTTAAGATTCTCTCTTTCTTTAGCCTTATGCATTTTCATTATGATGTGTCTTGGTGTGGGACCCTTTGGGTTCATATTATTTGAGATTCTCTGTGCTTCCTGGACTTGTATGTCTATTTCTTTCACCAGGTTATGGAAGAAAGTTTTCAGTTGTTATTCCTTCAAATATGTTTTCAATACCTTGATCTCTCTCTCTTTACCTTCTGCTGCCCCTATGATGAAATATTGTTACAGTTGATGCTGTCCTAGAAGTCCCTTAAAGTATCCTCATTTAAAAAACATTCTTTTTTCTTTTTGGTGTTCTTATTGGGTGTTTTCTGCTACCTTATCTTCCCAATTGCTGGTTTGATCCTCTGCTTCATCTAATTTTTTGTTGATTGCCTCTAGTATATTCTTCATTTCAGTTATTGTATTCTTCATTTCTGACTGGTTCTTTTTAATGTTTTTCTATCTCCATTTTTATGTTTCCTGTCTTTTTGTAGAAGTTCTCACTGAAATCATTTAGCATCCTTATAACCAGTGTTGAGAATTCTGCATCTGGTAGACTGCTTGCTTCCTTTTGTTTAGCTCTTTTTCGAGAGTTTTGTTCTATTCTTTCATTTGGGACATGTATCTTTGTGTCTTCATTTTGGCCACCTCTATTTGTTTGTTTCTATGTAACAAGTAGAATACTACATCTCCTGGTCTTGGTAGAGTGACCTTATGTATAGGGCTTCCTTTGGGGACTACTGGTACAGTCTTCCTGGTCACCTAAACCAGGTGCTCCAGGTGTATCCCTTGTGTGGGCTCTGTGTGCCCTCCTGTTATAGTCAAGCCTTGATTGCTCTTTGGCACATCAGCAGGAGAGATTGACTCTTAGTCTGATAGGTTGTGAGGACTGACCTTGAGCTATTGTGTGGGGTCTGAACACATGGAGCAGGATACACTCTAGTGGGACTCTGGTGCTTGCCAAGTTCCCCTTTGGGTGTGTCATTTGTGGAGCTAAACTGGCTGGTGCTCTCTGTGTTCTGAAGCCAGCCACAAGGTGTGTTGGTTCTAGAGCCTTTTTGGAGGGGCTCCCACATATACCTAAATCAGCTGCTGCCTGTACCTGCCACAGGGCTGCCTGGTAGGAACCACTAGGTAGTCTTTGGTTGGTAGCTGCCTGTGCTTTGCTTGGAGGTGCCTGGGAAAGGCTATGGTAACTGAGGTTGGCTGCCACGGGTGCTAGGATTAGAATCATCTATCAAGAAGTACAAGGCATGCCAAGGACAGCCACTGCTTGTTTCAGGTTTTTGGATCTTTGAGATATTTTAGGAAAATTTTCAGCATAAGCCAAGGCCAGCAGCTTGTGAGGAACAGCAACTAAAATTGGCAGATGCTCTAGTTGGGTTGGCAGGGTCCCAGGGAATGACCAGGGTGGGGTAGTGGTGTTAGGCAGGTTGATGGAGACTCAGATTTTGCATCAGCCTGCCCTTGTAGGCTGGTGGGATTGTCATTAGGTCTCAACAAGAAACAATAGTGCCTGCCAGCATTTGCCAGCTGTGAACGTGGGAGGAGGGCTCTACAAAGTAACAACGGTGCCTGCCAGCACTGACCTGCCCCTCCAGCCTTCACCCTGAAGCCAGATAATTCATTTCTTCCCCATATGTTCCTGGTACATTTCTAGCTACTGTCCCTTCACTGGAACTTAGGGCCAGTGTTTATGAATGAGTGAGTTTGTGCTTGGGCCTTCTAAGAGGGTGCCTGGGTCTATAGAAGCCCTCTGTCTCACCCAGACAGAGTCCCCACTGATTTTCACAGCCACATGTTGTGGAAGCTGTTCTTCCTGATTAGGGCTGGGACCTTCTGACTCCTCACTCAGTACCTTTGCTGAGGTATCCCTCCTGATTCTTAACTTCCACACATGGGACCAGACCATTTTGCATCTCTGCCCATCCTTCTAGTCTCAACGGAGCTTCCTTTAAAAATTACTAATTCAATCTCTTTAGTTGTTATGCTGAAATTTCGTATTCTTGAGTCAATTTTAGGAATTTGTGCCTTTCTATGAATTTTCTATTTCATATATGAATTTTCTATTTCATGTACTCTTATATAGTTGTTTATATTATACTCTTAAAATCCTTTCTTATTTCTGTAAGGTCTAGTACTAATATATCTTCTTCCATTTCTGTTTTCAGTACTTTGAGTCTTCATTTTTTCTTCTTAGCTAAGCTAGTTAAAAATTTGCCAATTTTGGTGATTTTTTAAAGATTATGTTATACTTCATGAGTTTATTAATAAGTATAATCCTATTTAAGAAAAATATGGTGAAGGTCTTGAACCTTTCCACATCTGTATTGATTATACTACCAAGAATATATTTATATTAATTAAATTATGTTTAGGAATATAGCCCTTAAAACACATTTTGAGTGAATAATAAACTTAGCAAGCTGTGTTTTTGATAGTTTTAGGAAGATTGAGGAATTCAGCACTGTGACAGACAGATGCTATCTATGCCCTCACGGGCATCCAGTCTGAGAACAGCTAACGCTGTATTTACTATGAGGAAGCATGCACACTGCTAGGGAAAGTATAGGCTGCTGTAGGAGTTCATAGTGGGTCAGTAGGAGAGCCTGCAGTCTGGCTGCGCCACCTCTACCACTGCCCAGCCCTCTCTGGACAGACAAGTAGCTTCTTGAGCCACTCAGGACTCCTCGGTCATGGGGCTGGCTGGGGCAAGCTATGAGATGGGGGCAGATTAAGGAGGCTGAGGGTGGGTAAGGGCAGGCCTTTCTCAGAGTGCTATGGGCTGGGTACCACCTTTCCTCTCATCCCTTACTGCCTGGCACCCTCCAACTCTAAAGGGTAAGACATGGGAGCAGGAGTGACACCAAGCATGGATTTGGGACTCCATCAGTGTTTTCCCACACTCCACTGCCACCTCCATCCTGAGGCAGATGGGACAGGAGGGGAACTGAGTCTCAGAGATGGATCAGCTCTACCCTAGGTGAGTTGGTCAAGCCCTCTTCCCCAATGCTGAAGCCAGTTTGTCTGTGGGGTGATAACACCTCTCTATGCTCCACAGAATCTGAAAACAGAGTCCTGGGTTCTGGCTGGCTTGGTGGGAAGAGGAGGAGTCCCCTGAAGATGCTCTATGACCTGGACCAGGTAGGTGGACATACTTCACCCCAACCCTTTGCCTCCAGACATGGGAACCTGAGAGCCTCAGCGTAGGCCTGCTATCATGGGACTGGAACCCACTTAGACACAGAGAGTCATCCTCTGAAAATCCAGACTCTGTTCAGAGACTAGAATGCCTGGGGATGTGACCAGGGCAGATCTTGGGGGCAAGCTGAGAAATGGTGTCTCCACCCACCCCCAACCCTGTATCCATCATCCACTCAACAATAGACTGGGCCCGTCTGTGTCAGTTCATGTACTGTGGATATGGAAGAGAGTAAAACAGACACTGAACCTTCTTTCAGGGAGTTAACAGTGTAGTAGGGAGACAGTAATTAAATTTAGTACCACCTGCAATAGGGAAATGTGAAGGAGCCCCTGCCTCACCTGTTCTTTGGCAATGGACCAGGCAGCTTGCTGGTCTGTGAACCTCACTTCTGTTTTGGCCCCCTAGAACCATACACTGCCCCAAACACGCACACAGTTGAATCCCACTGCGAGCCACACCCCTGGGCTCACATATACCCAAATAGCCACACTCAGGGGCACCCATTCAGGCAGCATGTGCTGAGCACCTACTGTATGCAGACTGTGCTTAGGAACCCGTGGGTCCAGCCACAACCAGGTTGGCCGGTTCCCTGCTCTTGTGCAGCTATCAGTCCTGTCCTTTGGGAGGAAGACATTATTTGATCACTGCCTCCACTAACTTGTAACTGATTGGTGTCTAAAGGGAAAGTATGAGGTACAATGAAAGTTCTACCAGGAGATTCCTAGTTTAGATGGGGGTGTAGGACCCTCTCTAAGAAAGGGACATTGCAGCTGAGACCTTCAGAGGATGAGTTGAGAGGCAAACAGTAGTGGCCAAGTAGCTGGAGGTGAGCAAAAGACAGAAGAAGGTGTGCAGGGTGAGATGGGGTGGGGGGTGGGGACAGTGGCCCTGTATCGCCTGAAAGGTGGGGCAAAGACAGTAGGGAGCTACGAAGGATTTTAAGCCAGAGAGAATGATCATACTGGGTCTGGGAAATTGCTGGTCAATGAATTCCCAAGGACTGAGCCAAAGGGCCATGTGGAACTCATCTGTCTCATGGCCTTGGGTTGCAGGTAGGAGGCCTTTGTTCATAGAGGGTAACTGGCTTGCCCTGGGCCACACAGCAAGCTAAGGGAAGGCCAGGCTGTCATCAGGCCCTTGGTTCCACTAGCTGCAGACTTTGAGGCTTAGATAGGGTTGGCTCAGCCCCCTCATGGCCTAAGGACCCAGTGACCTTTGGTGTCAAGGCCCTGGAAGCATAGCACCTTGCCGTTAGAGAAATAATAATAATGAAAACAATCTGGCCAACAAGTGCTGACTGTGTACCAGGTTCTCTAGTTCTCTGAACTCACTTAGTCCCCACAGCAACCCTATAAGGTGGGGCTGTTGTTATCCCTGTTCACAGATAAGGAAACTGAAGCACAAGGAGGATAAGGACCTTGAGAATATCACAGAGGTCATAGGGACTAGAGCCAGGCTAAGGATCAAAGCAGCTGAGTATAGCTGGGCTGGGAAGGATGATAGTGTTGCAGCTGGATGGAGCTCCAGACTAGCAGGCATAGCTCTGGCTTCTGAGTCCCAAGGGACCTGAGCTGGAGCTTCCCTACCAGAGAGCTATAGACCACTAATTTTCTCTAAGCCTCAGTGTTCTAACCTGTAAAATGGAGATAGCATTGACTATCTGAGTATTCATGGGGCTGCAAACAACAGAAAAGCCAACTGAGACTACACTAAGCCACTAGGATAGTCAATGCGTACTCCCCACAAAACTCAGAAACCGGCATCCCCACATACAGCAGCAACATTCTGCCCTCTCACATCCTGTAGATGTTGGCTTCTGCCACAGCCTTATTGCCTCATGGCTGTAAGATGAATGCCAGGGCCCTTACATCTCACAGGAGAACATCCTAAGCGGAAGGGTAGAGGTGAAGCAAATGGTTTTCTTCCTTCAAGAGCTCTCACTTTTTCTCCTGAAGGAAAGTCTTTCCTGGGAGCCATCCCAGGGAAGCAGACTTCCCTTTACATCTCCTTGGCCAGAAACAGGCCACATGCCTACCTCTGGTCCCTTCACTTTAATGAAGGTATGATTGTTTCCTCCTAAGGTTGGCTACATGGCCTGACATAATTGAGGTTTGCTGCCAAGGAAGGAGGGAAACTGAGAAATGGGTGGAGGGCCAACATTCCCTGCCACAAGAAGCATGTTGGATTGTCTGGAAGCTGTACGCAGAGCTAGGCTGTGGAGCCCCTGATTACAGTCCTCTCCTAGCACCCATATGGAGCTTGGTTTCTGAGGCCAGTCCTATGAGTCAGTGCCTTACAGGGTGGGAATGCAGTCCTCTAAGTGCCCTCAGGCCCCCTACAGCCATGTCCGAACTTGGCAACCGCCCCCACAATGATATTTTTGAAAAAGTAATATAAGCACTATAGGGCATTCTACACTCCCAAAGAGTGTACTGTGGAAAGCACCTCTTTCCCAACACTGGCTTCCCATTACCCCTGCAATTGAAAAGTTCCCTGTGAGTCATTCCAGGCATGTTCTGGGCATGTATGCAGCATTGAGTGTTCTATCATATGCTTATGTTACTCTTTCAAAATCTCATTTACAGGTACATATGTCCTTGCTCTCTCAATTGTAACTTTTCATTTTGAAAAATTCAAACATATGTAGAAGTAGAGAGAATACTACAATGAACAACCACATTCCCATCATGCACTCTAAACAGTGATTGACTCCTAACCATTCTTGTTTCATCCTAACCCCCCAACTTGTACCTGGTATTACTGTGAGGCAGATCCCAGCCTTATTGATTCTGTGATTATTTCAGCATATATCTAAAAGAGAGACTACCCACAATTCATCCTTTTTGAAACATTTTTTTTGTTTCCTTCTCTACTCTTTAAAAAATATTAATTAATTTTAGACAGGAAAAGGGAGACAAAGAGAGAGAAACATTGATTTGTTGTTCCATTTATTTATGCATTCATTGATTGATTCTTGTAAGTGTTCTTACCGGGGATTGAACCCACAATGCTGGTGTATTAGAATAATGGTCTAACCAGCCTGGACACCTTCCCTATCTTTTTAAAATCCAACTGTGGCATGCTAAGTCATGTTCTTTCTTTAACTTTTTGCCCCTAAAGTGTATTGGATGTCTGCGGGATATTTTTAGAGGCACATACAGTCTGTCCCCCTTCCCCTACGATGTCAAGTACTCTCATGCAGGCACAGAGTGTATAGTGTCCTGCTATTTCAGATGCTTCTTTGGCTTCCTCTGAAATGGAAACATTCTGAAGGCTTTTTCTTGAGATATAGCTCACATACCACAGAATTCACTCTTCTAAAGTATACAATTCAGTGGTTTTAGTATAGTTACAAGGAAGCACAACCCTCACTATCCAATTTCAGAACATTTTCATTACCGCAAAAAGAAACCCAATATGCATAATAAGTCACTCCCCACTTTCTCCACTCCCTGCCCAACAACCCCAATTTACTTTCTCTCTCTACGGATCTATTCTGAACATTTTATATAAGTGGAATCATACTTGTGGCCTTTTATGTCTGGCTTCTTTTACTTAGTATACACAATGTTTTCAAGGTTCATCCATGTGTTAGCATGTACCAGAACTTCATTCCTTTTTATGGAATAATATTCATTGTATGGGTAGACCACATATATACTATTTATCTACCCACCAGTTGATGGACATTTGGGTTGTTTCCATTCTTTGGCTATTATGAATAATGTTGCTATAAACGTTTGTGTGCAAGTCTTTGTGTAACTTAAGTTTTCAGTTACTTTAGGTAGATCCTTAGAAGTGGAATTTCTGGATATGTTTACTTTTTTTGAGGAGCTCCGAATGGTTTTCCACAACATCTATACCATTTTCCTTTCTCACCAGCAATAAATGAAGGTTCTGCTTTCCCACATCTTCACCAGTACTTATGGTCTTATTATCTAAAGGCTTTTATTGCAATTTTTAGAAATTAAGAACACTTTCTTCTAAGAACCAAGACCCAAAAACCACCAAGAGAGGGGCAGGGGGTTTGGAGGGTTACTGTTTGAGGTGAAGACCCTGTTTAGGACAGAAAAAAACTTGAAGAAAGGAGGGGGAGTGCTGTAGGTAGTGGCCTGGGTGTTGGTATGGTTGAGGAGGGATAGGAAGGGGTGGACCCAAGTGACCTCCTTATATTACCCAACTCACCGAGTTGTAAAGGTCATAGCGAGATACCCGGTACACAATAAGTACGATATAAATGCTGAATGTTATTATTTCACAGAGGAGGAACAGGCTTAGAGAGGGCAGGCTTCCTGACCAAGTACTGAGAGTAGAATTTGTTGGGGCTGGGAGAGGACTGGGTGGGATAAAGACATCAAGAACCAAAGGAACATGCCAATTCATAAATATAGAATTAGCTAATTTTATTATTAAACAAATTATTCCAATAGCCTACAAGAGGCTGCATTTTCAATTCTATTTATATGGAATGAAAGTTGCCATTCTTGCACACTATACTACTTCTAGTAAACAGCAAGATACTCAGTTTGCATTCACAGTGAGTACTCTTGAAGTCATACTTCTTTACCATGCTTACTCTGACTATGTCATATTCGTTATCAGGAACTCCTCAGACCTGAAATGTCCAAGAGACTAATCATATCGTTTCACATACCTCTGCAAAGTTAGATTCATTGCCCCCCAACCCCCATCCAGGTTCCAGACAAATGCCTGGGCCCCTAATCATATACGGTGATCAGCGGCAGCGCTGGGGTCCCAATCCAGGACCCCTACCTGATGCCTGGAACTGGCTAACACACATCACTGGGCAGCAGCCCTGACCCCGACCCCTGTTGTCCACAGGGTCCAAGCTCAGCTCTGGCTGAGGTGCATCGGCAGCGGCGCAGTCTGCTGCACCGCGCCTGCAGCCGCCACACACGCCGGCAGCGCCTGCTACAGCCCGAGGATCTGCGCCACGTGCTGGTGGACGACGTACACGGCCTGCTTTACTGCTACGTGCCTAAGGTGGCCTGCACCAACTGGAAGCGTGTGCTGCTGGCACTGAGAAGCCCCGGGGGCCTGGACCCGCAAGCCATCCCCGCGCACGAGGCGCATGCGCCAGGCCGGCTGCCCTCTCTGGCCGACTTCAGCCCCACCGAGATCAACCGGCGCCTGCGCGACTACTTGGCCTTTCTCTTCGTGCGCGAGCCCTTTGAGCGCCTGGCCTCGGCCTACCGCAACAAGTTTGCGCGGCCCTACAGCGCCGCCTTCCAGCGGCATTATGGAACTCGCATCGTGCGGCGCCTGCGGCCCCGCCCACACCCCGATGCGCTGGCCCGTGGCCACGACGTGCGCTTCGCTGAGTTCCTGGCCTACCTGCTAGACCCGCGCACGCGCCGTGATGAACCTTTCAATGAGCACTGGGAGCGCGCTCACGCGCTCTGCCACCCGTGTCGCCTGCGCTACGATATCGTGGGCAAGTTTGAGACCCTGGCAGAGGATGCGGCCTTCGTTCTGGGCCTGGTAGGCACAGCCGGCCTGCACTTCCCCGCGCCACCACCCCTTACCAAGGCAGTCACTACGCACGACCAGGCTGTTCGCCTCTTCCAAGACATCAGCCCTTTCTACCAGCGCCGCCTCTTCGACCTCTACAAGATGGACTTTCTACTCTTCAACTACTCCACCCCCTCCTACCTGCAGCTGCACTAGCCTTCAGTGACCCTGAAGGGCCTGCAGAGGCTCTGAGGTCAACGCTGGGGGGTGGGGGACTTCGAGAATGTGAGTTTCTGATGCCTCCGGGGTACCCTACTCTCATCACCACTGCAGTTGAGCTGGCATCACACCTGGCTTAGTTTGGGTGTAACTTGCCTTAGGCACTGTGTGCTTGCTGCCTGTCCTGCCTGTCACTTGATGCTTGCTTCCTCTAATTCCTCTAGCTGGCAGATGCTTCCCTAGGATCCTTGGGTAGGTGAGGACTAAATGATAGCATTTTAAGTTGCAAAGGGGCTTTTTTTTTTTTTTTTTGTCAGCTCTGTCCCTGAACTTGTCCATGGTGAAACAGAGCAGAATGCTAGCTCTAGGCAGCCTGTGGCCCATCCCAGTACCCGCCCCCCCATCTCACCCATCCTGTTAAGAGCAACCCTGGCCAAGGAGAGAAGCCCTTCCCTGCAGGACTCAGGCTGGGTCCATCCTTATCCATGGGCATGGCACAGAGCCAGCTGTAAACTGCCTTCACTCTGCCAACCACAGAGCAGGGCCACCTTCCTTCTTGCTGGCTTGGCCCTAGCCCCACCCTTGGTCTTAGTCTGGCCAGACGCTAGACTAAGGTGTCCACAGAGCTCAAGGTGCAATATGATGGCAGGTTTTACAGAACTGTAGTGAGCTGGGGAGCTCATGTATCAATAATTGAAATAAATGTGTTTTGTTACTTTCTGACAGTTTGGTGTTTCCCCACTTCATTTTGCCATGTGCTCTCTGGGGCATGAGGCTGTCTGATCTTGGCATCTTACTGAGTCTCTGTCAGTTTCCCCTGTTACCAAATGGCCTAAGAATGCCAGGTGGTTATGAAAATCAGATGAGAGATTGCTTACCTTCACAGCAGCATGCAAGTGTGAGGGGCTACATGGGGTGTAGTGTATGGAGGGAGTGCATCATGTAGGGGGTACTAAATTGTAGAATTGGGGAGAAAACAGTCACGAACTGGAGAAAATCTAACCTTTCACTCTGCCTGGGCCAAAAGTTAAAGCCCAAACCAGCTCAGTGAAGCCTTGGGCTGCCTCCCATTCGTGTGCGAGCATGTGTGGTTTGCAGCATGTGTTGTGTACTTAGCAATGAGGACCCACCCTTCCAGCTTTGGGGGACAGCCAGCCATGGTGGTCGCTTAGGAGGGGCTGAATGTCTCCTTAGTGGCTAGTTGAATATATAATGTCCCTTCTCACTGTCTTTGAATGATAAGTGAAAATGCCCAAACTTTGGGAAGAAGAAGGCAGGGTGTGCTTGAGATTTTTGAAAAACAGGAATCAGAATACAATCAAGGAAGAGCAGCTTGGCAGCGATGAGACCAAACCAGCTGTGGTGCCTCCACACCCTACGGTCAGGACCCATGATGCTATGCTAGCCTGTGGGGGTCAGGCTGGTCAGGGACATACAGCTTAGCCACATTCATGCCCCAGCCTTTGCTACGGTGTTCCCCTGCTTACGATGCTGTCTTTCTCCAGGCTGGTCCTTTGTTCCATCCTTCTCAGGAGCCTGCCCAAGTCCTTTAGGATGACCCTCTCAGAGCTTCCCCACACTATGTCCACAGGTTCTCCCACTGTGGATCAGCAACAGCAATGCCTTTGGACCTGGGAAGAGGCTGTCACTGAGCTCCTCATGAAGCCTCACCCCCCTTGAGGGATGTAGAAAACCTGGGGCCTATACAATTACCAGGACACACTGGATCACAGCCCTACTGTGATGGACCTGTCCTGCAGAGTCCTCCGATTCACAGGGGATGAAATAATGAGTCTCCCAGACACTGAGTGCTGTCAAGAGAAGGGGAAGGCGGTTCCCTCTAGTGGAGAATGCCCCAGCCCTTTTCTAAAGTGGCTTTTATTGAGAACAGTATACAGCATGCTTGCAAAGCTTATCAATCAATGCCTGAAGGCTATATTTACAGAAAACAGATAGAGATCATAGATAACAATTTAAGGAACCCAGAGATTTGCCACAGGTCAGGGTCTGTTAGACATGCTGAAGTCAGATGGTGTTAAGGTATGGCTTCTGAATTTAGGAATTCACTTCTGTTTGGAACTTAAACATCTGGTTTTTCCTTACCAGGGCAGTGTAAAAGCAGAGCAAGCTTCAGGATACAATGCATTCTTTAGGCCAGATTTCCCAGGGAACCCTTGGTGTTAGCATCCGATCATGCCTGCCTCCAGCATTCCCCGTTTTCTGGTCGAGACTTACGGGCCCCTTTCAAGGCCTGGCTTGCGCGGGGCTACAATTCCCAATACCACACAAAGTGGTCCCCAACACCCTACCATACTGAGCTAGGCTTAAGGAGGGAGTGGCTGGTCCTGTAAGCACACCCAGGGCCTGCTGTCTTTCTCACAAATCCCTGTTACCCACATACTCCCTCAGAAGCTACATACACACCATGTTTGTTACATGCCATTTCATGCTCGGTTGTTACACATTTGCTTCCATAACACGTCTTTGTGCTGAGCTCACTCAGCACCCACACAACCTCTTATATGGCTTGTTTGCTGAAAATTAATTCCCATCCAGATGTCACACCCTAGATGCATCACGATTAGAAGTCACCTTTTACCATCACACCATCAGCTGTCATCCCTTCAGAGCCCCTTGAGTGCTGACACTTGTCACTCTATCATTTGGGGCAGGCATTCCGCAGCCTTGCCCTCATTGGATATCTCCTGTGCAATCTGAGTTTGTATGCATTCCCTGTCACACATTTAGCCAGATCTACCCCGACCACAATAGCCCTCACCTCTGCTGTGAGTGCAGGACCCACAGCCTGGGCCTGCACACACTGGAGGCACTTCTTGCTCCTCACCTCACCAGCCTTGGGACATTTCTTCTCTGGCCTTCCAGTGACCTGTGTCCCCTCTGGCTGCACCAGAATGTGTCTCTTCACAGACCACAGACTCACTGCCTGCCCTCAAATGGCATGGTCCTGGATGAGCCATGGGATGACCTGAGAAAGACAGGGTCTCACAAAAAGAGCTGGACAAGACATCAGGGTACTCAGGTGGTTTCATGAGAGGGAGAGAAATATCATGTGTGGTTGCCTCTCACACAACCCCTACGGGAGACCTGGCCTGCAACCCAGGCATGTGCTCTGACTGGGAATCAAACTGGCAACTCTGTGGTTTGCAGGCTGGCGCTCAATCCGTTGAGCCACACCAGACAGGGCTCATGCTACTTTTCTTGAAAGGATTGTAATACACCAACAATATGGTATTAGGTTCATGGACTAAAAATTTAGAAAGTAGTATGCCTCCCTCAGGCCTGTCCCCCAAGTTCCCCAGGCCTTCAACCAAAAGGTAATGATTGTCACCTGCTCCACACATATATGCACACATACCACACACATACATATATGCATGCAGTCACACACATGCATACATACTTCCACATATATACATACAAACATGGGTGCATAAACATTGAACATATGCACATGCACCCACACCTTTTTCTAATATACACAAGATGGTAGCATATTAGACACACACTTCTGCTGGGCTTGTTAAAAATATCTTAATATACTTCATAAATTGTCCCAGATCAGAGCCACTTCTTCATTTTAATGGATACTTAGTCTTTCAGGGTGCAGCGGTGGTATAATTTAACAGTTCTCTATTGATGGATATTTAAGTGGTTTCTATTCTTTGTTTTTATTTTTTATTTTTATTGAATTTATTTCAATGACATTGGTTAATAAAATTATATAGGTTTCAGGTGTACAATTCTATAATACATCATCTGTATATTGTATTGTGTGTTCACCACCCCAAGTCAAGTATCCTTTCATCACCTCAAGCTAGTGGCCCAACTTCTCTGTGCCTCAATGTCCCATCGGAAAGGGGCACATGAATCCTGCCTGTCCAGTACTCAGAACACTCCTGAGACCCATGAAAGCCCCATGAAACTAAGAACTGGCTAGGTCACACCTGGCCCACCTGCCTCCATGTATGCAAAAGGTGGTCTGAGCAGGTGATGAGAGCCTTCCCAGGTGAGGACCACTGCCTTGGAAGTGGGAGAAGGAGGAGAAGAGAGAAGGAAGTGATGTAAAAAGGAAAACCTCTTTATGCCCTGATGTCGGAAAACTTTATTCACTGGTGCAAATGTAGGGAATCTGTGATAGGTTAGAGTCCCTAGAAGCAGGACTGAGAAGGGGATTCTAATCAAGTGACTAGCTGAGGGAGGACCCTCAGCAGAAGATCAGTGAGGGACATGGAACAGGGCAGAGAAGAATGCGGTGAGGACATGATCTCTTCTAGAGTCTGGTACTAGGGGAATTCTGCAGTGAAATTGCCCCTGAGCTATTCCCACCCTTAGGCAGTGTTGGCCTTGCATGCCCTGTGGCAGTCCCTCTTAAGCCACAGGAGGGTGAGGTGAAGATGTCCCTTCCTTGGTGCCCAGTGAGTTGTCAGCATCTCTCATGGCAGCTAGGCTGGGTCCTCCAGCCTGGGAAAAGAGTCTGGACAAGGTACCAAGCTTTCCATTAATATAAAGTAAAAACAGCTAGAGAGGGGATCAGTGAGTGAGATGGATGAAGAAGCCTGGAGAAATGGCTGGTGCTGTCAGGACACTCAGTAGGTTTTAAAGGGAAGTAACAAGGAACATGATAGGTGACCTAATGAGGCCTATATAGGAACCAGAGTTCCAAGCAGGGTGCCCAAATCTATAAATCTAAATTTAGATTTTTTTCCTGACCCTTCTCTGGGCCAGAGCATCTTGCCAGCTTCTTGAACAATGGCTTAAAATGAACATCAGCCAAGAGTGTGTGTCTGGTACCATCAGTACTGGCTAAGGTCAAGACATTGAGAATTTACCCATGAGATGGAGTTCCTCTGAGTTCCTACAGTGCTTGGGGCTGTGAAAAAGCTAGACCTACAGTGGGGAGAGGCAGGTGTTCTACCAACTCAGCCCTACTTGACATGTGGCCCTTGGCAAAGCCTCCAGTTCCATGTGTCTAAAAAGAAGACTATTTCTCAGCCAGGTAGCTGTGTGTAATAGAGATGAGAACTTTCTAAGATCTTTGCATCATATTAGCACAGTGTCACAGATGCTGACAGGATGTGACTTAGCTTCAAGAAATGGCAGACCTGTGGGGATGGGTGGGGAGCTCAATTATCTTTGTTTTGTATATATCTTTTCCCCTCCATTTCAGCCTGAATATCAAGATGTGCAGGCAGTAACTCAGCTGAGATGGCGATTCCTTGTAATGAGGTGGTGATGGAAAACAGAGAGAAGGAGGTGGATTTGAGAGATGTTTAGGAGATAAAATGAACACATTTTGGTGATTAGAAGCTATGGGAGGGTCAAAAATGATGCTAGGTTTCATTCATTTCCACTAGACAGGGCTGGATAAAGCCTTGGAGAGAGACCATGAGTTCAGTCTTGGTCAGGTTGAGTTTGAAATGTCTTTGAAATATCTAAATGGCAATTTTATATCTGAGTCTGAAATTCAGATGGGTGAGGGCTAGTTTTAAGACAGTAGTCTGGGTGTCATTGGTATACCAACAGTAATTAAAGGCAGTCATCTGAATGGAAAAGAGTGTAGAAGGAGAAGGGGGCATCAGGCTGTGTTAAGATACTCCAGAATTTCATGATCAAGTAAAAAAAGATAAGCCTGACAACCACACAGAGCCATGGACAGAGAAGACAAAGTATATAT